GCTCTGCCATCCCCTCCCAGCCCCACATCGTGCACTGGGTTGCCCAGTTGCTCCCAAAGGCTGGGGCTTTTCTCTCCAGCTCACAACTGTGGGCACTTCTCCTGGTTAGCTCTACCTCCTTACTAGACACTTCCTACCCAGCTGCACACAACCACGCCAGCCTCCAGATCTCCAGGGGAAAACTGGTTTGCTGGAATGTTTACGAAACATGAGCGTAGGTTTTTGCTTTTTAAAAAAAGCAACGAGCATAGCAGGATTTTTCAGATTCAGAGCCGCACTTCTGAAATCCAATTCATCACTCGTGTATTTTCCTGTCAACAGTGGGTCTCCAAACGTCACGCCTGCTGCTACCAATTAATTCATGATTTTTTCATTCACCGATTAAGTTGCTCGATGTCAGCAGATTTAAATTTTTGAAGTCATGTCGTTTGGTCTTCAAGGGGAGATTGTGCAAGCCTGATCAAGCAGCAGTTATGACGATGCACGTAAAGTCAATAATAAAAGCTGAATGCGTCTCCCTTGTGAAATTTGGTCATGCATTTTATATTCACTATTCTTGGAGTGTGACAAAGTAGCGTCCAACTTATGCGTAAGAAAAATTTCAAAACTGTGGGAGCATGAAACTTTACCACGGGATTCACAGCATTTTGTAAGAATTTTTTTGAATTCTTGCAAGAGTTCCACTACTGCTTTCCAAGTTTTTTCTTTTTCTTTTTAGAGAAAGGGTCTTGCTCTGTTGCCCAGGCCAGAGTGCAGTGGTTCAATCACGGCTCACTGTAGCCTCAAAACTCCTGGGCTCCAGTGATCCTTCCACCTCAGCCTCCCAAGTAGCTGGGACTACAGGTGTGCACCACTATGCCAGGCTAATATTTTAGTTTTTATTTTTTGTAGAGACAGCATCTTGGTATATTGCCCGGGCTGGTCTCAAACTCCTGGCTTCAAGCAATCCTCCTGCCTCCGCCTCCCAAAGTGTTAGGACTACAGGCTTAACCCCTGCTCCTGGCCTTACATTCCAAGTTTTCTTCAGAGAAATCTCTCTCATTTGAGGATGAGGACACAGTTTTATCAATCTATGAGCACAATATAGCACAAAGTGGGTGTTCAACAAACATGCATTGGGTGAATCAACCAAAAGAAGTAATAATTGGGAAAAAGGTCAGAGTTAGTGGGTTGAGGATAGTTGAACATTTTGCAGGTTCTGCTAATGTTTTCCTTTTCTTTCTTTCTTTTTTTTTTTTTTTTTTTTTTTTTTTTTTTTTTTTTTTTGAGACAGAGTCTTGCTCTGTCACCCAGGCTGGAATGCAGTGGCGCAATCTCGGCTCACTGCAACCTCCACTTCCCACTTTCAAGGGATTCTCCTGCCTCAGCCTCCCGAGTAGCTGGGACTACAGGCACCCGCCACCATGCCCTGCTAATTTTTGTATTTTTAATGGAGACGGGATTTCACCATATTGGCCAGGCTGGTCTCAAACCCCTGACCTTGTGATCTGTCCACCTTGGCCTCCTAAAGTGCTGGGGTTACAGGTGTGAGTCACTGTGCCCGGCCAATATTTTCCTTTTCTTTGTCATCTTGGTCTGTGTTCGGTATTCAGAACGTTTTCCCATCATAGGTGGCCACACTTGGAGAGATGCAGAATGGTAGAGCTAGAGGGGACTTTATTTTTTATTTTATTTTGTTTGTTTATTTTTTTGAGATGGAGTGTCATTCTGTTGCCCAGACTGGAGTACAGTGGGGTGATCTCAGCTCACTGTAACCTCCGCCTCCCAGGTTTGAGCAATTCACCTGCCTCTGCCTCTTGAGTAGCTGGGATTACAGGCACCCGCCACCACGCCGGGCTAATTTTTGTACTTTTGGTAGAGATGGGGTTTCACTATGTTGGTCAGGGCTGGTCTCAAACTCCTGACCCCAGGTGATCCACCCACCTTGGCCTCCCAAAGTGCTGGGATCACAGGTGTGAGCCACCATGTCCGGCCAGGGACTTTATTATTATTATTTGTATAAATGTATGAGTTTTAAGTGCAACTGATCTATTGCACAGTGGTGAAGTCGGGGATCTTAGGAAATCCATCACCCAAATAATATACGGTATTAGGTCATTCTTGCATTGCTATAAAGAAATACCTGAGACTGGGTAATTTTTAAAGAAAAGAGGTTATTCGGGAGGCTGAGGCTGGAGGATCGCTTGAGCCCAAGAGTTCTGGGCTGTAGCGCACTATGCCGATCGGGTGTCTGCACTAAGTTCAGCATCAATATGGTGACCTCCCGGGAGTGGGGGACCACCAGGTTACTTAAGGAGGGGTGAACTGGCCCAGGTCGGAAACGGAGCAGGTCAAAACTCCCGTGCTGATCAGTAATGGGGTTGCGCCTGTGAATAGCCACTGCACTCCAGCCTGGGCAACATAGTGAGACCCCGTCTCTTAAAAAAAAAAGAAAAGAAAAGAAAAGAGGTTATTTTAAGCTCACAATTCTGCAGGTTTACAAGCATGGTGCAGGCACCTGCTTGGCTTCTGGGGAGGTCTCAGGGAGCTTTCATTCATGGCGGAAGGCGAATTGGAATTCAGAGAGTGCTGGGGCTGCTGGGCGTGGTGGCTCATGCCTGTAATCCCAGCATTTTGGGAAGCCAAGGTGGGTGGATCACGATGTCAGGAGATCGAGACCAGCCTGGCCAACATAGTGAAACCCCATCTCTACTAAAATACAAAAGATTAGCTGGGTGTGGTGGCATGCACCTGCAGTCCCAGCTACTTGGGAGGCTGAGGCAGGGAAATCACTTGAACCCAAGAGGTAGAGGTTGCAGTGAGCCTAGACTGCACCACTGCACTCCAGCCTGGTGACAAAGGGAGACTCCATTTAAAAAAAAAAGAAAAGCCGGGTGCGGTGGCTCAAGCCTGTAATCCCAGCACTTTGGGAGGCCGAGGCGGGTGGATCAC